AAATGGTTTCAATGCTACAAAAAAATTTAAGCTAAGCTTATGCTTAATAAATAAATGTCTAGACCAACAAAATTTACAAGGCTTACAAACTAGCTAGACTTTCAAAATACTCTCAATCCCATATTAATTGTCACATTTTTTTACTGGAAAAATTATAAAATAATTACATTTCATAGATTATGAACGTAGTTATTAGAACTAAAAAGAAAACTCTAGCAGCCTCCTTTTTTTCCTCTCTCGCCCTCATATCTTCCCTTCTTTTTTGGCTGTTCTTTTCCTCTAGCTGCTGCCTCTATCCCCCTCGAGAGTTACGAAGGATAGATAATGGTGGAATTTGTCTCTATTTTATGGGTTTTTCTCTCAGAAAGATTTTGTCACCCTTTTTCTGAAGTTTTTGCTTAGACTTCTTGATTTATCTCATCAGGTTTTGCCATGATAGAAAGTGAAAACAACATAGGTTGGAAGCTGGTGAGATCTATTTGATTGTAGCATTTTCTTCAGCTATTGAAAACATGGTCAACAATTAGCGTCTTTAACTAGTATTTTGCCTAAAAAATGCTAGTTATTGGCGAGGGATCGTAGTGATGACGTTAATACATATTTATGCCTTCTGCTATCCCATACTAGGAATGAGTGGTAAGAGAGGTGAGGTTTTTAGGGGTGACTGTAAAACTCCAACATAACTTGTTCATGGCACCCCATGGCCCTATTGATACTCCTGTAGTTTTTACTAATATCTTAAGATTCTATACATGTAATTATCCACATTTGTCATAGGCAATAACTTTTTTAAATAAATGCTATAAGTAAATTTATAGATACATTTCTATAGTGTTTTTATATTTCTTTGTTTTGCTTATATAGCACTGCATAGGTAAGATATAAATTTTTTTCATCTTAATAAAACTATACATATTCTTATATATATATATAGTTATGAGTACTCAAAATTCTTTATTTATCTTTAATCTTTTTTTGTTTTGGCCTTATTTATCTTTAATCTTAAACACTTTTAAAAATGATGACTAAAAAAGGTCTTTGTTTTAGTAAGGGTAAAATTGCAAAAAAAGTTTTAAATGCTCTTTTAAAAGTAAAAAATAATAACAACTAATATAAAAATACCTTAATTTAAAAACTGTGACAACGAATTGTTTGTTTTATTTGAGGGAGACAAAAAGAGGGGAAAGCAGACAACTCATTGATTTGATTACAAAAAATTTTTAAGAGGAGGCGAGGGAAGAAACTTACCTTATTTTATTTTTTTCTACTTTCAATTCCTTCTGTCTTCTTCTTTCTTTTCTTTTTTTTTTTTTTAATGGAATTTCTTCTGTCTTTTTAACTAATCTAAATGAAGAAATGAAAGGACAGAAAAATAAAAGTATATAAAATGAAATATTTGCATTTTATTTTTTCTCGAACCAAACATGAGGAGGACCGAAGGAGATCAAATAAAGAAGAAAATGGAGAGAGAAAAAAAAGGCCGGGGTACATAATCATGGACATACATCGTGG